GTTTCCTTTGACAGAACCTTTGTTTTTTTACGATTCAAAGGAAATGAATAAGTTTAGAATTGCGATAAATTATTTATTAGGAATATGGCGGATTATTATTAAAAAAAAAAAAAAAATTTTTGCACTTTAATTACTAAACAGGACACGAAATGTTCGAAATAAAATTTTTTATTTTTTCTCTTTCCCCTTTTTCCAAATTCGATTTTTCCGTTCGAGCCCCCCCCCTTTTTTTAAAAAAGAAAATCCCCGGTACTTGTTTACATGTTCGATCGTTCCTTTGTTTTAAATTACGAGTCGAATGCAATTTTTTTTAATTGCAGGGATTTTTTTTCCCTGCAACATTTCAATGACAACAATTACGCCGTTTATTGTTTATTGTTTTTAACGATCGTGAATTAAAATTAATTTTTTTTTGTCTTTTGTCTTTTGTTTGAGCAATTAAATTAATCTTTCGAAATGTGAAAAGATTTCGAATTAAAAACGCAGCTTATTATTTTTTTTTTCTCTCTCTCGTCAATGATGATGATAATAATAATAATAATAATAAATTTTTTCGGGAAAACTTATCCGGAAACATTTCGAATTCGGTCATCCATCATCATTTTTTTTTTTTGTCGTTATTTAATAAAAAAAAAATTTTTTTTGACATGACAAAAGCCAAACAATTGTTTTTTCCGTTCTCTTTTTTTAATTTCTTTAAATAATATTTTTTTTTGGTTTTGAAAACAAAAAAGTGCAAATATTTTTATAAACGAGAACAAAAAAAAAGAATTCAAATTTTTTTTTTTATTTAAAGTTGATTTACTTTTCTCTCCATTTCCGTTTCCGTTTTATTATTTTTCTTTAAAAAAAAAAAAAAAAAAAAAAAAAAATGGATGAATTTATAGTAATAATAAAATGATATTTTAGTGTTTGCTCATTAATAAAATAGCATGCGCTTTGTTTTCATTTGATTATTATTTTTATTATTATTATTACTATTATTACTATTATTATTATTATTTATTATTAAATAGATTGTTATTTATATAAAAAAGAAAATTATACAAAATAAAAAAAAAATCTAGATACACGAAATAGATCTAGACGGAAAGAAAAAATGATTTTAAGTATTATTATTATTATTATTATTATTGCTATGACGTAATATGCATCGTACTTCACTAATGCAATTTTTACAATTTTTTTTTTTTTTTTCGTTTCCACGTTGAATTTAATAGCATTATTATTATTTTTTTTGATTGGTTGATTTTTGGTTTTTTTTTTTTTTACAATATTTTCACGAAGTTTTTTAAAATTTATTTCCGGTTCCGGTTTTTAATCCGCGAAAGAAAAAAAAATTTTTTTTGTTCGATTTACGGGAAACAATGAACGAACGAATAAAAATTTAAAAAAACGCGGGAATTATTCGTCACGCGATACGTTCACATGATGCACAAAATTAGGGTGGTAATATATATATTTTTATTTTTCAAGAGTTGGCATTACCGATTTTTTTCAGTCGACGAATAAAAATGTCAGTTCGTGGAATGCATAATTTATCGTGCGTGTTTCTTTTTCTTTTTTTTTTAAAGTAATTGTAAAAATTTTTTTGACGTTTAACCTGACGGTTACTTTTTTTCAAATATTAAATTATCCTTTCATGTTTTTTCTATTTCATTTGAAAGTTTTTACATGATCGAAAACCGAGAAAAGAAAAGTGATGAAAATTTAAAATGCGTTAATCGTTGGCGTCGACATATTTGAAAACCGTTAACTTTAAAGTGTTCAAATGTTAAAAAAAAAAAAAAAAAAGGAAATCGTTTTTGTTGTGCGTTTGAATATTTTTTTTATACACACGTTTATTTAAAAGTGTTTTATAAAACCGATTTTCTAGTTCAAAGGGTAAACAAATATTTTTTTTCCAAGAAAAGCCCGTTGCTCACCGTTTTTACTTTTAACACGAGTCTTTCAAAATTTATCCATAATAGAAAAAAAACTAATAACGATTTGGAAAAGAAGAAATATTTTATCAAATTCTTATAATTACGTAATAATAATAATAATAGTAATCGCGTAAGTGATAACAATAACGATAATAATAATAATAACCGCATCGTTTGATTCTCGGGTATTAAAATTTTAAAACGTCTTTTTTTTCCTAAACGAAACTACGCCATATTGGTTTACGTCATAATTTTTTTTTTTTTTATACGGTCATAAATTTTTACGGTTAATAATTTAAAAAAAAAAAAAAAATTAATTTTTTTAACGAAGGAAGGAAGGAAAGAAGGAAAGTAATAATAATAATAATAATAATAATAATAATAATAATAATAATAATAATAATAATAATAATAATAATTTTTACCACGTTGTCTTTATTTTTTATTAATAGTAATAAAACTTATACGTGACGTCATACGTGTGGTGACGCGTTGTTAAAAAAAAAATCTTAAAGGTTTAGATGAAAACAAAATGGCCGTTAAAATTACGTCACTCTCGTTAAAATTATAATTTTTTTTTATTAATTATTAAAAACCGATTTTTTTAAAACTTTTATTTAATCGACGGGGTTTAAAAAAAAAAATTTTAAATTTTAAAAAATTATTCCTGGAATTATTTTTTTGTTTTTGTCGTATTCCCGTGGGAATAAATAAGATAAAAATTTTGATACATGACGCCAATGATAAATTACGACGTATTACGTCGTAACGTGTCTAATAAGAAAAAAAATTAAATAATGTTTTTAAAGTGTGTGTGTGTGCGTGTTCGAGCCTTTTTTCAAATAAATCGGATTAAATAAACCAAAAAAAAATTAATTAAAACAATATGTCCTCACTCAGCATTGATCTAACAATGAACCTTTTCTTTTTATGATACCACTCAGATGGACCAACAATTGTACACGTCAACATTTTTGTACGCAGTATCTCAAAAATTGATGACGTTACCATGGTAAGTCACAGGTCATTGGAAATTTAGTAAGAAAATTTTTTCACAAAACAATTACCATTTATTTATAACGAATAAATAAATAATAATAATAAAATATACGGATTGTTTACAAACAAACAAAAAAAAAAAAATGGCGCGTGAAGGATAAAACAAAACGAATTAGAGACGTTTAAAAAATTTTTGCGAAGAAAAAATAACTCGTAAAAATTTTTAATAAATAAACGTCTTTGATTGGTTATTTTAAATCGATTATTTCAATTCGATATCTCGTTTACTATCAAGTAGTTGAAAGCTGTGTAAAGCTTTAGATTTAAACGTATTAATGCATTTATTATTATTATTATTATTTACCTTTATGCTTAAGCAAACCCCCCTTTTTTTAAATTTTTCTTTTCCTTCCTTTTCGTACATTTTTTTTTTATGTGTTGGATTTTGTGTTTAAAAAAAAAATGTCTTCTTGTTGAATACGTGATTCGATTTACACTAGATACGAACGTGTTATTATTATTATTATTACTTTTTTTTTTTTTTTATTAATCATCTGAAGGGGGTTTTAAATCGTTCGAACAAATGTGTTGACATTTTTTTTTTTTTTTTTATTTGACGAGACGAAAATAATAAAATTTTATAGTGGCAAGTGTGTTATATCCATCCTTAACATTATCTAAGAGACATGTTAAGTGTTTTACGTTGTAAAAATTTTGTTAAGGGATAACGAACGACGAGAATAATTCCAATAATCGTTCGATTTTTTCAATTTTTAAAATAAATTATTTTTCCGGGGGGTTTCGGGGAGGGGAGGGATGGTGGGTAAATTCTACGTTTTTTTTCCCGTTAAAATTTCGTCATTTAAAAATTCGTCGTTTAGTTTTTTTTTTCTTTGTTTATTTTCTTTTTTAATTAAATTAGTTTTTTTTTTTATTATTAAAAGAAAGTTTGCATTATGTTTATTTTATTTATTTATAAAGTCTTTTTAAAATGTATTGCACGTTTATATTCCGATAACACGTAAAAAAAAATGTAGAGTTTCTTTTTAACGGTTTTTTTTGTTCCGCCATTTTTATTACGTCATCAACGATTTTTCGATTTAACGCACAAGTGCTGACGACGATGACAACAAATAGTGTAAGGTAAATGTTTTATTTTCTCTCTAAATTTAAAAAGTTTTTTTTTTTTTTTGATAAAAAAAGAAAATTTTATTGGAAATTTCCTGACGATTCGAGTATTTCCTTTTATTTCCGTACCTTAAAAAAAAATTTTTTTTTAACGTCCAAAATCTTTTTTTTTTTTTTTTTTTTTCATCTCGTCGCCGATTAAAAATTAAATATTTTGTTATAAAAACTAGTTCTGTGTAGTTATTGTTTAAAAAACATTTATTTATTTATTTATAAAAATTTTTGTTCATCCAGCATGAGGAGCTTGACTTGTTATTATTATTTATTAGCATGACTTTGTTTAACAGGGGGACGACGCCATATTTGAAATAATTTAGAAAAGAAAAAAATTTCTTTTTTACATTTACAAACATATATATATATACGATAACGTGTGCCTATCTACCCACGTGACAAAATTTATCGAAATGGTATCGATCGATATATCGATTTACGTAACAGTTAATACCGACAGAATTTTAAACGGATTCGTGGATTTTTTGCAATAGGGGGGGGGGGCGGAATCATTTACATAACAATAAAAATAGTTTTATATAAATTTTTTAAATTAATAAGAAAATTAGTTATACAATCTAATGATTCATTTCAAATCATTTATTAATTAGTTAATAAGACTTATTTATTTATTTCATTTGTTAATAATTTAAAACAATAAAACAAACAAACATTTTTGAATGCTTGCAGTAAATTATTAACCGCCATTTTGTTTTCATATATATATATATATATATATATATATATATAAATTCGTTTCGTTTTTGCACCCCCCCCCCCCTCTATTATTAGGTTTAAGAAACTTATTTATTTATGACGTCATATCAACAACCAAACAAAGCAGTCGAAATAATAATAATAGGTTATTAATTAATTTTCATTTGTAAAAAAAAAAAAATTTCAATTCGTTTGATTAATTTTTTACTGCAAGCTTGACGTCATTAATTTTTTTTTTTTTAATTATTATTATTATTTTTTTTTAATTTTTAACGATCGAAACTAAAAAAAATAGGTTTTTACTAATAATTAATTGCAAAAAAAAATTAATTTTTTTTTTTTTATTGTTTCTCTCGTTTTTAACCTTAGCGGACACATATACGCTTGTAAGGGTCAATCTTCTCATTCGATCCATCAGCAAAATAGACGATTATCAAATGGTGAGTTTGGTGACGTCATCAAATCGTGACGCGTTCACCGACAATGTTGTTTTTTTTTTTATATATGATTTCACTTATCTGTAGGAAAAGATGTTTTTCTTTTTTTTTTAATATCATTTTTTTTTTTTTTTTTACGAAGTGGTCATTTTTACTTGAAAATAATAATGGAGGAGGAGAAGGAGGAGGAGGGGGTAATGATAAGAAGAAAAAGATTAAATAATAATGATGATTTTACTTTTAATTTTTTTTTCGAAAACGTAGCAGAATTTAAATTTTTTACGAAAAATATGCGCGTGATAACAAATGGGGGGAAGGGCGGGGATATTCGTGGGTGGGGGAGGGGGATTCGACGATGAAATTTTTTTTTTTGCGTACGAAAAAAACGATAATGAGTCTTCTGAATGAGTTCGCGAACTCGTTTTTTTTTTTTTTTTTTGTTTTTATTCTCGAACTTTTCCAATTCACTCAATATAATAAAAATAAAATAAAAAAAAAGATAAAAAGAATTTTTTTTTTCTTCTGCTACACGCTTCGGGCATGATTTTGAGGTTTTTTCTTATTCGATTTGAAAATTTTTGAATCTTTGAAATTTTATTTTCGAAAGGAAATTCATTCCGACTAGTTTCCCCCCTCCCCTCCTCCTCCTTTTTATCCGTTATCATTTTTGATTTTATAAATCTTGAAATTTCACTCGTGTTTACTAATCATTTTTTTTCGTCAGACATTTTTGACAAATGGTGGAAAAATAAGGGAAAATTTCAAATTTCCTATTTATTTGTGTGCCATCGATTGATTTTTTTTTGTTAATTTACAAAAAAAACTTTAAGTTTATTAACGTTAAAACAAACCTTTATTCGATTTGTTGACATTTTATCATTAATCTACCGTCTGCGCCATTTTGATTTTTTTCGTATTACGTCATTTATTTTCCACCAATCACATTGCGTTTTTTCGTATTACGTCATTTATTTTCGACCAATCACAGTACGTTTTTAACTTTTTTCATTATTTGAATCCATTCGATCAGTTCGATTTTATATTCGGAGTGTACAAGATGATTTTTTATAATTTTAATAATTATTATTATTAATTTTTAGTTTAATAAATAAATTTTCAAGTAGAAATGACCCCGTGTTGTATATATATATATACTAATAAGGAATAAGTATCTGTACATAAATTACGTATCATTTTATTATTATTTTTTTTTTACATAAATTTAAAATTATTTCCGTTATTTTAAAATACCGGTCGTTGATTAATAAAAAAAAAAAGCTTTTATTTATTATTATTATCTCAATAGTTTTAGGATTTTACATTCATTTTAATATTATTTTAATTTTAAACGAGGCACTTTTTTTTCACTTTTTATAAAGCAAATTATATTTTTCACGTAAATAATAATAATAATTACACGTCGTAATATCAACGTCTCTCCACAAAACAATTATACGAATATTATTTTTAAAAAAAAAAATCGATATTTTTCGATTGTCACGGGTCGGTCACGTTTGTTAAGTTGGCAACATTTACAAGTATTTATTTGTGCATGACTGTGTGTGCGTGTGTGTGCGTGTCGTCACCATTAGAAATCGTTCGTTTATTTTTTTTTAAAATTATTATTAAAATTACGTATCGGTAACGTAATAATTACAATTTAATTAATAATGATAATGATAATAATGACGGTTTAACACTTCGTACGTATCGTATATACGCGTGTGTGTGTGTGTGTGCGTGCGCGCGTGTGTGTATATACACATTATTTTATGTACATAAGTGTTATGTGTATGCTTGTCTCTAAAAGTTGCCGACTTTTTTTTTTTTATAATTATCAGATCAATTTATTTAAATTTTAATATGATTTGATAATTTAAAAAAAAAAAAATATATACAATAAGTGACCAACCGCCGCCATATTTAAATTAAAACGTAATATTCGTATAATCCGAAATCGTTTTTATTTATTTATTTAAATAATAATATTAAAATTCGTCATGTTTTGACTGTCACCTTTCTCACTCTATTGTCTTATTTGTAAAGTAAGGAGAAAAAGAAAGAGAGAGAAGAAAAAATAATATATTAATAAAATTTATGCATCTTGGCCTTACACACATATATATTATGAAAATTGATGAATAATAATAATAATAATAATTAATTTTCACGCAGAAATTTAACACACTTACACATATTATTTGCTTTTTGTTAATTATGTGCATAATATCGTTGTAGCTTTATTATATATTGATGATGATGATGATGATGATAAAAAAAAAGTCATTGATTTTAATTTGTAATAATTTTAAAAACTCATTTCAGAAAACTTTTAACGGATAGAAAAGGTGAGATTTTATACAATCAACGCGTCTCTTTCGATACCGCCATAAAATCAAACATTTTTATTATTATTATTATTATTAATTATTTTATATGTAATTTAAATAGGGTTTTATTAATTTAATTTAATTTATTTTATTTACGTATCATTATTATTATTATTTTAAACGTTTCGTTGCCATCGATTGTGTTGGGTACGCATTGTAAAATATTTTACAACGATATATTTTACATATGGATAAAAAATTATTTATTTATTTATTTATTTTTCAGGCTTTTTTCTTTTTAAATATCATTTGTATTTATTTATTTATTTATTAATAGTTCTTTAAATAATAATAATTGGTAGCAAAAATTATTATTTTTATTTATTTTTTTTTTTTTTAATAATGATTTTATTAGATTAATTTGTTGTATTTTATGCGTATTTGTTAAAACGATATTAATGCTCATAATATTATATTATTATTATTATTATTATTATTAATTAATTAATTAATTAAATACGAGCGACATTTTGAATTTTATATATTGAATCGTATTAAAAAAAAAAAAAAAAAAAAAAAAACAAATTAAATGATGTTACCAAGAGTTAAATCAAAACTTATGAGGGAAATTTTTTTTTGTGCGGGGAAAATAAATTTCGGGAAGGGAAATTTGTCGACGAAATGTAAATTTTACACACTATGACGTAATATGTTAAAACTAGGAGGAGGAGGATAAATTGCGGCGAACGAAAACACAAACAAACACGAATAATAGTTAATTATGACGAACTATACAAACCTGAAATTGTTTTTTTTTTTTTTCGCGTGTGGGGGTGCGTGTGTGCGTGTGTGAATTTGTAATTTAAAATATGTAAAATTTTATGTGCTTTTTGCCACATCTTTAAACCTTGTTCGATGCATGAATTTATAATTGTTTGTTTTAAAATGCTTATTTTTTTATGTTGTTGTTGTTGTTGTTGTTGTTGTTAAGTGGTAAGTAAAACAAACGGAATTCAAATAATTTTTTTTGTTTGTGTTTGTTTTTTTCCATTTGGTATAATCATATTTGTTATTGTTTTATTTGATTGTTTTAGAATTTATATATTTCAAAAAAAAAAAAAAAAAAAAAAAAAAAAAAACCAAACGGATAAAACCGATGTGACAAATAAAACGTTAATTACCGTTGAAGAAAAAATGAAATTGTCGCAAAAATATTAAAAAGTCGCACAATTGTTAAAAAACGTTTGAATTTTTCGCGGTTTTTATCTGTTTGTTGTTGTTGTTTTTTTTTTTTTTTTTTGTACAACTAATATCGATATTTATGTTGTTGTAGGTGTTTACTATATGCGGTAAGTTTCGTTTAATCGTAATAAAAACAAAATAAGTTTTTAATTAAAAAAAAAATGATTTTTAGTAATAAAACAATTAATTCGACGGATTCAGTAATAATAATAATAATATAAATAATTTTTAATTATTATTACAGGAATACAGCGTTCAGCTGACATTTCGAGAACAATGGCTTGATGAAAGACTGAAATTCAATGACTTTGAAGGTAAGTAAATATTTCTTTTTTTTTTTTAAATGGTATTACATAAATGACGTAATTGTAAAAATTTTCAGGTCGTATAAAGTACCTTACATTAACCGATGCTAACAGAGTTTGGATGCCTGATTTATTTTTTTCAAATGAAAAAGAAGGGCACTTTCATAACATCATAATGCCAAACGTTTACATCCGTATATTTCCGCACGGTTCAGTGCTCTATAGTATTAGGTAATTGTTTGTTTATTTACTCTATGCTACGACATAATGATGATAATATATATAGCTAAATTACATTTTCTTTCTAGGATTTCATTAACTCTTTCTTGTCCAATGAATCTCAAGTTATATCCATTAGACAGACAAGTTTGCTCACTTCGAATGGCCAGTTGTAAGTGTGATTAATTAATTATAAAAGGAAAAAAATAAAAAAATAATTTAAAGCTTTTGGTCGGTTTGGGAATTTGATGGTCGTAGGGATGGCGGTGGAATTACAACCAATTGCGGTTCGAAACCGGGGTTAAACCGATTACTAAACGACTTTTCCACCCCCTCCCCTTCGGAATTTATGTAATGAAAAAATTTATTTTCAGACGGTTGGACGACAGCCGATTTAGTTTTTCTTTGGAAAGTTGGCGATCCCGTTCAAGTTGTTAAAAATTTACATTTACCTCGATTCACTCTCGAAAAATTTTTCACGGATTATTGCAATAGTAAAACAAACACAGGTAATGATGATAATAATAATGATTGAATTATTAACGGAGGTGAAGTAATTAAAATTGCTGTTGATTTACAGGGGAATATAGTTGTTTAAAAGTAGATTTGCTATTCAAAAGAGAATTCTCATACTATCTCATTCAAATATACATACCTTGCTGCATGTTGGTTATCGTTTCCTGGGTATCATTTTGGCTAGATCAGAGTGCGGTACCTGCGAGAGTTTCACTCGGAGTGACAACATTACTCACAATGGCGACGCAAACCTCTGGTATAAATGCATCATTGCCACCGGTATCCTACACAAAAGCCATCGACGTGTGGACCGGAGTTTGTTTGACGTTCGTATTTGGAGCTTTGTTAGAATTTGCTCTCGTTAATTATGCATCGAGATCGGACATGCACCGTGAAAATATGAAAAAACAAAGGAGGCAATGCGAATTGGAACACGCGGCATCACTCGAAGCCGCAGCTGATTTATTAGAAGATGGTGCGACAACTTTTGCCATGGTGAGTCCCGAATAAATTTATTAAAAAATTTCCCCACAAAAATAACGAAAATTTTCTTTGTTTTTCTTTTTCCAGAAACCACTCGTCGGTCATCGCGGTGACGCTCTCGCAATTGAAAAAGCACGTCAATGTGAAATCCACATGCAACCCAAAAGAGACGATTGCTGTAGAACGTGGATATCGAAATTTCCAACAAGATCGAAACGTATCGACGTCATTTCACGCATAACATTCCCACTCGTTTTTGCTCTTTTTAACGTAGTCTATTGGTCGACATATTTGTTCAGAGAAGATACGGAAGATAATTAATTCGATTGTTTTTATTATTATTTATTTGCTTATAATTGCCGTCGTTGGTAAATCAATCGATGATATAGTATTTAAGTTTCGTGTGCGCTATGTCGTTTATATATCCCCGACACGTTTTTTTTTGTTAAACGTCTTACGTCATCGTACGTCATCATACGTCATCAATTTTTTTTTTTAAATTTATCGCGTTATTAGTAACAAATAAAAATAAAAAAAATTACAAAAAAAAAATTGTTTTGTTAGTATATTAAATAAAAAAAAAAAAAAAAAAGGAAATTAGAAATTGGAAAGAGAAAATTTTATGATGGAAAGGAGTGCGAGTGGGAGGGGCGGGGGAGGGAAAGAGGGAGGAGCGAGGGAGGGGAAATGTTTGTTCTCGTACCTAAAAAAATTAAATAAATGTTTGTAAAAAAAAAAAAAAAAAATTATTTTTTTCGTTTTTTGTTATTATTATTATTATTATTAGTTATTACCCTTTTTTAAATAACATAAAAAATATTTTTTAATATCGATTTTACACAATTCTATCAAAAACAAATATGGCTGATATGACGTCACCGTCATTTTCCATTATCAGCCGTGCAAAATAAAACAAATAATAATAATATTGATTATTAAATAACAAACTGCCTAAATATGAAATAAATTAATAATAATAATAACATCGGGTACAAGTTAAAATCATGAGTAAACATTTTTTTTTTTACATCAAAAAAACATATAATAATAATAATGATAATAATAACGTTGTTGTTGAATTTATTTTTATAAAAAAAAAATAATAATAATAATAATAAAGAACAAAATTTTATAATTAAAAAATCAATTGATAAAAATGCTTCCTTATAATAACAATAATAATAATAATCATCGTGATGGCGGAAGTAAAAAAAAATTTTTAATAAATATAAAGAAAAAAAAATGTTTTAAATTTTGATTGATTGATTGGTGATCGATTGATTGATTGATTGATTGATATATATCGATTTAAAAAATTTATTTATTTATTTATACATACATACATGGTGGTTGTAATGTGATGATTGTTTGTTTGTTTGTTTTTTTTTGTTATCGTGTTATTAGCACACACACTATTAAAAACATTATTATTATTATTATTATTACTATAATAATTTATTGTAAAAATTTAGTAAGAAAATGACGTTATTTAATTTTATTTGTGTTATTAAAGTATTAAAGAGAAAAAAGTTGATTTTTATGTTTTTTATTTAAAAAAAAAAAATTTTATATTTTTACGTTTTTATGCTGGACGTAACAAAATAAAAAAATTGTTGTGGCTAATTAACAAAAATAAATAAATTAATTATTTAATTAATTACACAAAAAAATATGTATAATTACAAAAAAAAAAACTTATTAGAAAAATTTTATTAGTTATTATTATTGATTATGAAAAGCTTGTTCAATGAGATAAATGGGGTTGTAAGTCAATCAGTATATATAGTATAGAATTTTTTCAATATAAATTAATAATTTTTGTTTTTTTTCTCTCTCTCTCTCTCTCTCTCTCATTTTGTTTTTATAATCCATTTTGTTGTCGTTTTTAATCGTATTGAAAAAAAAATGACGTTTTCGTAACGGAAAAAAAACGAAGTATTATTTATTATTTGTTATGATAATAATATAAACAACTTGTGTCATTAGGTTTTGAATGTTTTTAATCGTGGCACTAGATTATATTTTTGGCGCCTTTTAAATATCGTTTAAAATCGTGATAATAGAGGGCTTTGGGGTAAATGTGTCATAGTATTAAACGTACTATCGCGTTCGTAAATTTCTCTATTTTTTTTTTTTTTTAATTATCTCGATTAGTCGTTGAAATATTAATAATAATAATTAATTGTTTTTTTTTTTTAATTATTTATAAATTTTGTTGTAAAGATGGATACAACTGGTCAGGTTAAAAAATTTTTTATAAAAAATCATTTTCATTGGTTTATATGAAAGTCAATTTAATTTTTTTTTTTTTTACACGTTGTATTGTTTTATTTGAAACAGGTTATAAATTGTTTGGCAGCTGTTGCTTGGGAGAGCAACAAACCATTAACCATGGAAATGATAAATGTGGCACCACCAAAAGCGGGAGAAGTAAGGATAAAAATTCATGCTACCGCACTGTGCCATACTGATATCTACACTTTAAGTGGACAAGATCCCGAAGGTAAATTTCCATGTGTACTCGGTCACGAAGGTAGCGGAGTCGTGGAAAGTGTTGGAGAAGGAGTTGTTTCTGTCAAGCCTGGAGATCATGTAATTCCTTTATATATTCCCCAATGTAGGGAATGTAAATTTTGCTTATCGAATAAAACAAATTTATGTAGCAAAATAAGAACTACCCAAGGTCAAGGAGTCATGCCTGATGGAACATCAAGATTTTCATGCAAAGGAAAAATGTTACATCATTTTATGGGATGTTCAACATTTTCTGAATTTACTGTCGTCGCAGAAATATCTGTTTGCAAAGTCGACATTCGTGCACCATTTGAAAAAATTTGTTTGCTCGGTAAGTAATTTTTAAATGAGATATTTTTATTTACAGTTACAATTATTGTTTGTTATTATATTTATCGATAAAATAAATATTTTTGTAATTTTTAGGTTGTGGTGTGCCAACTGGTTATGGTGCAGCATTAAACACAGCCAAAGTAGAACCTGGAAGTACTTGTGCAATTTGGGGATTAGGAGCAGTAGGATTAGCAACAATTATGGGATGCAAAGCAGCAGGTGCTTCTAAAATCATTGGAATCGATTTGAATCCATCAAAATTTGAAATTGCCAAAAAATTTGGAGCCACAGAGTGCCTTAATCCTTCTCAATTTGATAAACCCATTCAAGAAGTTTTAATAGAAATGACAGATGGAGGTTTAGATTATACTTTCGAATGTGTCGGAAATGTTAACACAATGGTACTCAAATATAATTTAAATGATCCTCATTATAAAAAAATATACTCATAACTATTAACTCATAATTTTTTTAGCGATCTGCATTGGAATCGTGTCACAAAGGATGGGGAGTATCAGTAATCATAGGGGTAGCTGGTGCAGGACAAGAAATAAGCACCAGACCATTTCAATTAGTCACAGGTAGAACTTGGAAAGGTACAGCTTTTGGAGGTTGGAAAAGTAGAGACAGTGTTCCAAAACTTGTCGATGAATACATGTCAAACAAACTTATGTTAGATGATTTTGTAACTGTCACATTGCCATTTAAAAAATTAAACGAAGCCATCAAATTGATGCATTCTGGAAAATGGTAAATTTAAACTTCCTTTCACTCTATTATTATTATTATTATTATTATTATTATTTATTTATTATTTTTGTTTTTTTTTTCTAGCCTGAGAGCCGTCGTAACGTATTAAACTAATCGGATTTGTTAAAAACAACAAGAAATTCATTTATTTTTTTATATATCGAATTAGCAGGAAAAAAAAATTAGTTTATTTATTATTATTATTATTATTAATATAGGAAATTTATAATTATTTATTTATTTATTTAAAAATTTGTTACATGTAATTGATATTTATCATTTGTTTACATAGTTTCCGACATTTTCGTGTCATGTTATTTACAAATAATTATTTTTTTTGAAAAATCAGCAAAAATTAAATATTTAAAATTTTATATGTAAATATTTACGTTAATTAAACCGAAAATTTTACGATTCGATTCGAAAATGGTTTACTTTACAAAAAAAAAAATACATGATTTGATTTAAATAAGTAAATAAATTTGTTTTTTTTTTTTTAAGTTATTTAAATAATTTGCACTTGACTGATAAATATCTAACATAAATTATATGGACGGTAGATTAAATTTAAATTTTTTATTGAGGAAATAATTAAAAACAAATTTCTAGGAAGTTTGAAATACGTTATTGTTTTTTTTTTAATTCAAGGTGATTTATTTATTTTTATTATTATAACAAAAACGAACAAAGAATTATAATAATTAAAAAAAAAAAAAAATTTTTTCATTCCACGGATTAATTAAATTTTCAAAGAAACTAATCTCTTTCAAGGCTAAATTATTTTTTGTATTAAATTTAAATTTTTTTTTTTTTTCTGTTAGAACAAAAACCGTTGAATGTTTTTCTTTTCTGTCTTTTAAACATTTGACCTTTTCTATTAGTAATTAATTGATTATTATAATTGACATAATTTTTTATTTAAAGGCAAACAAACAAAAAAAAAAAGAAATTTAAATAATAACATTATGGAAATAATTATATTGAAATTTATTTAAATATTAATAATATTAATAATAATAATAATAAACAACAAGGACGGTAAAATATTAATTTATATACAAATGAAGTACATTAACCGAGTGTTGTGAGCTTCAGGCTTACATTTATTATTATTATTAATAGGGTTTGAAGATTTATTAATATGAAATGAAACTTGATACTAAATCTATTGCCTGAATGCTGAAAATTGCTGGTTCATCATCAGGTCAAGGTAGCCTGGTTTTGCTTTTGCCTTTTTTTTTTTTTTTTTCCTAATAAATAATAAAAATAAAACGTAGTGGGAGTTAATAATGTAACGCTTAAATAATTTTGTATTGTATAAAATTTATTTTATTTTAATTAAATATTTTGTCGAGTTAACTTATTTGGTATAAGTAAAAAGGGAAAAACCAGTAAGTTTTAATTATTAAATTTTTTTATTTTATTTATTTATTTTTAAATAAAATATTTCAAAGAATTTTTATTAGTTAAATCAACGTTCAAAAGGTTATCATTAATATTTATATACTAATTTTGTTGTTTTTGTTTTAGAAGGATAACGACAAAGGTTTTCAGTCTTTTGCTTTGTTCAAAGGGAAAAAGTTTGAAATTGAATAAAAGGAGAGAAGGAAGAAGGGAAAATGGATTTAAAAAATTTTTCTTTTTTTATTTGTTTAATTAATTGTATGATATTATTAGCATCTGGTAAAAATGTTGTGCCACAAGTTACACCGACACAAACATCAGGTTCTGTTGGAAAAGGACCAACAACAACAACAACAGCTCAAGTAGGACAAAAAGCATCTGATCCAACTGCATCAGGTTCATTATCACCAAAGGTAATATTAAATATAGATACAAAATAATAATAATAATGATTTGAAAAATGTTTTGTGTTTAAATTTTTTGTTTTTTTTTTAGTGTCGTGTAACCGTACAACCTGTTGAACCTTTCGATCCAAAAGCAGATGCAGAAGCATTGAAAAAAGCAATGAAAGGTTTTGGTACAGATGAAAAAGCAATTATTAATATAATCGCACATCGTAGCATCGTACAACGTTTAGAAATTGCTGATCATTATAAGACAATGTTTGGAAAAGTAAGTTTAAAAAAAATTTTATTATCATTCCTTGGAATTTTATTCTTCTTTTATGACAAATTGTTGAGATTACGTTGATGACGTTCGTCGAAAAATGTTTTTTTTTTTATTGTCGATTGATTGATTTGGGTCGTTCAAGATATTCATCGGTTGAAGTTGAAAAAGGTCATAAACATTTTTTAATATTTATTTTTATATTATGCAATCAATCACATCCAAACGTTAAAAATACGTTATGCCTAAAACGGTCGAGGGTTAGCGCGGACTCTAACTTTATTTAAAAACAAAAATAAAAAAAATTCATTTTCGTGATGATTAATTAATTTATAATAATTAAACTTCATGCGTAATTACAAATAATAATTAATATTCCTAATAGAAATTAGTTAGCGAACTCAAAAGTGAAATTGGTGGGAATTTCAAAAATGCCGTTGTCGCATTAATGACGTCACTTCCGGAATTTTATGCAGACGAAGTTAAAGATGCCGTTTCCGGAGTTGGTACTGATGAAGCCGCGCTTGCCGAAATATTGAGTACTCTAAGCAATTATGGAATTCGTACGATTGCAGCAACATACGAAAAAAGTTTGTTACGTTTTTGTTTTTTGTAATTTATTTAAAAAAAAGTGATTAATTAATTCGTTTTTATAATTTTAACGTTTTAACTTTTAGAATATGGTAAAACTTTGGAAAAAGCAATTAAAAAGGATACGTCTGGTCAATTTAAAAAACTTTTGGTTTCATTAAGCACGGTGAGTAAAACAAACAAAAATCATTCATCCTTACATATATAATTTTATTCATAATGATGATGATTATGGCATTGTATAGGCCAATCGTGAAGAAGCAACAACCGTAGATGAAAAAAGTGCATTAGCAGATGCAAAAGCATTACACGAAGCAGGTGAGGGAAAATGGGGTACAGATGAATCTGTAATTAATTCGATATTGGTTACAAAAAGTTTTGCACAATTGAGAAAAATATTTGAAGAATATGAAAAATTAGCCGGACACGATATTGAATATGCGATTAAAAGAGAATTTCATGGAAGTTTGGAAAAGGGTTACTTGTCAGTTGGTAAGTTACAATACAAATGTTGAAAATATGTTTGTCGTTGTTGTGAATGACGTCATATTATTGTTGTTATTTATAGTTAAGTCGATGAAAAACAAAGTAGCTTTCTTAGCTGAACGTCTTTTCAAATCGATGGATGGACCAGGAACTGATAACAAAACATTGATAAGAATTATTGTCGCAAGATCTGAAATCGATTTGGGTGATATCAAACAACAATATGAAAAAATGTATGGACACACATTGGAAAGTAAAATTGAAGTAAGTTGTTTACTATTCGAATAATATTAATAATAAGAAAATGAGAGAGAGAGAAATAAAAAAAAAAAGAAATGAGAGAGAGAGAGAGAAATAAATAAAAAGAAATGAGAGAGAGAGAGATAGAAATAAATAAAATTATATTTTCAGGGTGACATAACTGGAGATTATAGAAAATTGATGCTTCAACTTGTATCCTGTTAGTAAAAATTTTCTTTTCTTTTCTTTTCTATTTAAAATAAATTATTCATCATTATTTAAATAAAATAAAATTTTTGTGTACATATATGTTTAAAAAGAAAAAAAAACCTACATAACTTTTTCAAATAATATATTTAAAAATAAAAATAATAATAATAACGTTCTTATATAAAATAAAAATTTTATGTGTAGTTATATATTAATAATAATAATAATAATAATTTTAATATAACTAACAAAAAGTTTTTGAATTGAATTTTTTAAAAAAAAAAAACAACAATAATTAAATTTTTTTTGTTTATTGTTCAAAAAGGAAAATTTGTTGCATTTATATCAAATATGAACTTTTCAAAAATATTACGCGTTACGTAATATTATTATTATTATTATTATATTTGTGCGCGTGAATTTTTATTTATTTATATATTTACATATATATATATATATATTTTATTAAAAAAAGAGAAATAAATATATACTAAATCAATATTGCAAATAAACTAATTAATTATTAAATAGGAATATTCTTTTAACGAGAGTAATAATAATAATAATAATAATAATAATAATTTAATTAAATTTGTGTGTTTGTAAAAAATTAAAAAATTTTTTAACGGAAATACGATGATGATGATGATGATGATGATGATGATGATAACTTGGTTTACATTTTGTTTTTAACTTGTGTCAAAATACAAATGCATGAATATGGCCGCGAGTTTTCCCGGGTCATTAAATAACGTGGAATATTAAAATGTTTCAATTTGATATTGTTTCACATGATCACCATGGGTTCGACGACACTCGTTGATATTGCTTTATGTGGTAAAACTTGACCCCCATTTATGTAAATTTCATCTTTGACTAAAACATCTTCACCGAGAACCGTACAATTTTCCATTCTCACCCATTGGCCGACAACACTTTTCCAACCAATAATACAACTGTCTAACCACGAATGAGATTTTACATAGGAACCCTCTAAAATGGTGCTCCGTCTTATGCAAACCCCATTTTCTATGACTACATTCGGACCGATGATGACATTAGGCCCGATTCTACATCCGTGACCGATTTTTGCTGTGGAATCGACCAGTACGTTTCCCACAATTCCCTCTCTTGTACTTAAACTTTGCGGTCTTTTTTGGCGTAAATTGTTCAGATACAAACACATTCCTAAAATTTATAATTATTTAATTTACAAAGTTTAAAAAAAAAATGGTGAAAAGTAGGCTTTTTTACAAATTGTACCTGTTAAAAAGTCTTTAGGTTGTCCAACATCCATCCAAAATCCTTGTAGTTCGAAAGCGAATAATTCACCATCGGAAGCCATTTTGGGAAAAACTCGTTTTCGATGCTTGTTGGTTTTAAAGCAATTCTTTTTAAAACTGAGGGGCTCAAAATGTACATGCCAGCATTAATTTTATTCGAAACAAATTCCTGGGGTTTTTCAATAAAACTTTCAACTTTTCCTTCTTCTCCATACACCACGACTCCATATTTAGATGGCTCATCGACTTTTGTTACAACAATCGTTCCTTCTTTCCCATGATTTTTATGGAATTCATACATTTCTTTAAATGGAAAGTCACATATTATATCTGAATTAAGTACGAAAAAAGGTTCTGATGATGTTCCTAAAATTTCTCTTGCAAGTGCTAAAGGGCCAGCAGTTCCTAGGGGCTCACTCTCTTCGGAAAAAATTAATGTTACACCCAAATTTGCCGCTCTTTCCGTTAATTCTTTTTCCATTTGTTGAGCCCTATATGAAACTGCTAGTACAATTTCAGTCACACCTGCATCAACAAGAGCTTCAATTTGATGAATGAGCATAGGCTTATTTGCAAATTCTACTAAAGGCTTTGGTCTGCTTAGTGTAAGAGGCCTCAATCTTGTGCCGTAACCTCCGACTAAAATTAAAGCTTTCATTTTGCCAGTTTTTGAATTGTCAGTCGGACACATAATGAATGTATTCTGTTGAAATGTTTGATCTAAAAAAAAATTAAAGTTGCTTTTAAAATAAATTTAAGTAAACTATTAAATTTAAGACTCATTATGTGAGAAATAAGAACAATTTTGAAAAATTATGAATGTTGAATGTGTAAAAAAAAAAAATTAATTACCAAGTTTAATTAATTGCTGCCTCCTGCAATAACAATAAAATGTCGAATGAACATTTAATGATCAGTTTAATTACAGATAAGAAAATAATGCTGATTTTGTCAAAATTCTGTATTTTTTTAAAATTAACTAATGTAATAATAATAATAATAAGACTAACGAAGAAAATATTTTTGAAATTTTTTGCATTTACGATATTTAGAGTAAATGAGACAGAGATTTATAAATCACAATTAATTTTATAGATAAGCAAATTAGTATTTACATAAAGGTATATAAAAATTTGAAACTTAATTGTAAAAGCAATTAAATATTTTAATATTAATGGACACATACTTAAATATCTAAATGTAAATTTTAAATTTGATTTATAAATGAATGATTTAATAATAATATTAGCCTGATAATTTTAATAACTCACCAATTTGGTATATAATAAGTTTCTAAGAATTGAAAATAATTCTAACTAAGATTACGTGGTGTTAAGTGGCCACGTAGTTTTCAAGAGCCGTTACTTAACGAAAGTCATGAGGTAGTTTTCATACAAAAAAAAAAAATAAATAAATATTATTTACATTTAAAAAAAGTGTAAATTATAATAAAAAAATAAAATTTTAGTAATTATCATATATACTAAAGTAATATAACTTAAACAACAATTAAGGTTCTCGTATAATCAAAACAAAAGGGAAATTTGTCGATATCAAGGGTGTAACGTGCGACAGTTAGAACAAATGATTGTTACAAATATTGGATAAGGATGTGTGCGAAGCAGAACGTATAATGTAAAAATAGACGTCATTTAACTGGTCTTTAAATAAATAAATAAAAAAAAAATTTAGCGTTGAATGAGCCATTTTAATTTTTAGGTCAAGTTGAATGTAAAATACTTGAAGAATATATATATTATTTGAAATGTTTTACGACAACATTAAATCTGAAAAAGAAGATGATGAATCCAAGCCAGAGGTTTGCTCATTTAAATTTCAGTTATTATTCACTATTATTTTAATTTATTATTATTTTATTAATTTTACAAATGACAAGTAGTTTGACGCGAATTAAATTATTTTTTTATAAAATTTTATAAAAAGTGTTATTTTATTTTATTCTAAAATAATTTTCATTTAAATTTTTTTAATATTTTTATAAACGTTTGCGTGAAGACTTTTAAATTTGGCGACCGGCTTTTATTATTCAATATTTTTTTTATAAATAAAAATTGTTTATATTTTTTTTTATGCGTTGTCTTTGTTGTAAAAATGTTTAATTTTGTTTTTAACATTACAATTCATTAATATATATATTTTAAAATTTTATTTAGGATGTCAAGCATGAACCTGAGCAACTTCGTAAAATGTTTATTGGTGGATTGGACTATAGTACCACTGACGATGGTTTAAAAGAATTTTATGAAAAATGGGGAATGGTTGTAGATGTAGTTGTAATGAAAGACCCTAAAAGTAGACGGTATAAATATTAAATTTAATGTTTATTTTAATTTTAACTTTAAACTCTCAAATGAAATGAAATGTTCTATGTGAATGTGTAAAATTTTTAGTTCAAGGGGTTTTGGATTTATCACTTATTCTAAGGCATCTATGGTAGATGATGCTATGAACAATAGGCCTCATATAATTGATGGTAGACAAGTGGAACCGAAAAGAGCAGTTCCTAGAGATCTTTGCAGTAGAAGTGAAGCTAATGTAAGAAAATTATTTATTGGAGGAATAGGAAAAGCAGTTACTAAAGATGATTTAGAAGAATATTTTCAAAAGTATGGAAGACTAACCGATTGTGCAATTGTCGTAACAAAGGATACTGGTGAACCTAGAGGTTTCGGTTTTGTCGAATATGAAGATGTAGATTCGGCTGATAAAGTAATATGTAAATATTTTGATTATTTATTTTTTATTATTATTATTATTATTATTATTATTTGCATTGTTTGAAGTATTTAATTTTTCAATTAGAATTTTTATATAGTAAAATATTATTTATTGAAGTAATTAGGGACCATGAAATAAAAGGAAGGCATGTAGAGATTAAAAAAGCTGTAGCGAGGGATGAAATTAGTAAAAATGGTAGAAGAGGAGGTAATAACAGGAATCAAGTGGTTAAAGATAATAGAGGGGGAGGAGATTTTAGGAGTAAGAATGACGTTTAAAATTTTATTAATATTTTCTTAACTAGTTTAATTGCAAGTTTACAAAAAAAAAAAAAATTTTATTTTTTTTTTTTACAGATGGTAAAAGAAACTTTGGGAATTGGGGTGGCCAATCGAATAATTGGGGAGTAAACAGTCCCCGTCCATGGAATAATCAACAAGGACCTCCTGTTGGTAATTTTGGTGGTTGGAATAGCCAAATAAATAATTGTGGATTAAATAATCTCAATCCGTGGAATAATCAACAGGGGCCACCTATGGGTAATTTAAATGCTTGGAATGATCAAGGGAATAATTGTGGAATGAATCCTAGTCCATGGAGTAACCAACAAGGTCCTCCTGTAGCAAGTTTTGGCTGGAACAGTCAAGGAAATAATTGTGGTATGAATAATCCTACACCCTGGAATAATCAACAGGGTCCTGGTAATTGGGGGAATAACAATTCTTGGGGTAATAATCAAAATGGGTTTCCTCAAAGTTTTAACGGATTGGGAACGAATGGTGGTGGTGGTGGTGGATGTGGTTTAGGAAATATGGGAAATTCAGTAGGAATCTCTGGAAATGGATCAGGATCAGGTGGATTAGGTTTAAGCAATACAGGAAACGGATTGGTAAATTCAGGTAATAATAATTGAAACATTCCTGTAAATTTATCCTTTTTTTTTTAAAAAAAAAACTTAAATAAAATTTTTTTTTTGGTAGGAAATATGGGTTTTAATAATTTTGGTGGGCCATCGAACGGAGGAGGTGGAGGAGGAGGAGGAGGTGGAGGCGGTCCAATAAGAAATAGCTATATGTCTTCAAACAACAGAACTGCACCTTATCCAACTTCAGGTATAATCATTTTGACAGTGGAAAAAAAACCAAACATAAACGCTTCTAAATTTCAATTTAATTATTTATTTAACGTTTTTTTTTTTTTTTTTTTTTTTATTTAAATCTTAAAAATTTGTTTCTCATCGAATCCGTTAGTAAACAATTAAGTTCTTTAACAACAAAATCATTCTATTCCATCTTCATTTTTTGTAGAAATTTTACACTTGCCACAATATCAAAACTTTGAAGAAAGAAAGTCTATACTGCCTAATTATAAAAATAAAGTTGATTATCTTTCCAATTAAGTAAGATTTTTTTTTTTTTTTTTCCCAATGATTTGTTTGTTTTCTAATCTAAAAAAAACTCTTTTGTTTATTATTATTATTATTATTATTATTATTATTATTATTATTTTAAACCAAAACTTAAAAATAAAAGAAAAATCAAACGAATTTATTATTATTATCATCATGATTTTTTTTCAATTATTGGTATTTTTTTGCAGGTGGAATGAATGATCGAAGAGGATTCAGTGGAAACGGAAGGCAGCCATTTTCAAATTATTTCAAGTAAGTTTAATTTATGTTTTTTTTTTTTTTGTTTTCTTGTCAACTTGTAACGAATTTTTCAAACACTTTCTATGGAACTCATTTATGTCTCCAGTAAAAATTGTTATTTTGCTTTAAACAAAATAGTTTAAAGGAAAAAGTGTTAAAATTCTCAAAACTAATCAACCCAAACCAAACCACAATGTTATCATCTCCACCCACCATCATCACCATCATCATCATTATTAATTTATACCTGTTGATTGTTTTTTAGGGAAACGATTACCGGTAGCAGGCGTGAAGGAAACAAGCCGAATAGGTATTAATAGACATATATATAGAAAAAGAAAATGAATTTTATATACTGCAGGCCTAGGTTTTTAGGCAGGTTAATGATCTCAAGGGGAAAAAAAATAATATCACCTCTAGAAGAATTTCTTATTCTCTCTCTCTCTCTCAATATGAAATGTAATAAATTATTAGGAAATTTACAAGAAAAAGTTTCATTTCTATTTTCTTTTTTTTTTTTTTTTTTTTTTTTTTTTTTTGTTTGTTATTTACAAAAAGATCAGGGAAGAAAAACAATAGAGTTTAATTTATAAAAAAAAAAAAAAAAAAAAACCGTTGATGTTTTAACGTGTTCAATGTCGTCGTCATACACAAAATAATTGTTTTTTTTTTTTTTAAAAAATGTGATCTGTGTTATATAATTCCTCTGATCTAAATTGTATAATAGTTATTTTGTTTATATTTCTTAAATAAATATCCATTAATTAGATGAATTAAAAAAAAAAAAAAAAAAAAAAAAGGTTCTCTGTATGTGTTTAGATTTATTATTTTTAAAAATAAATTATCAATAGGGGTTAAATATGGAAGATTTAAAGAAGTAGTCATGAATGAATGAATGAATGAATGAATGATAAGGAATAAAAATAATGAAAATGGAAGATTTTTGAAAAGAAGAAAAAAAATTTAAATTAAATTACAAACAAACAAACAAATAATAGTTTTCATTTTTTTAAATGCAATTTTAAGGTAATTTGATTATTTTCTTATCTAATGTCTATAAAACTATTTTTTTTTATTACTATATTATTTTAAAAGTGTGGATTTTTATTTAGAAAAAAAAAAGGGGGGGGTAGGGTATTTAAAGTATTTATTATATTTGTAAAATGAAATTTTTGTTATTTTGTTTATCGATGAAAATTTTTCTTTTTTGTTAATTTGTCTCCATGAAATTATTTCCCTCATGAGAATAAGTTTTTTTTTTTTTTTAATTTCAGATGATAAATAAAACGAATCAGTTCTCAACTATGGAGTCACTTCAAAAATAATATAAAAATACATTAATGTAAAAATGGTGGAAAGGAAACGAAAGGAAATTTGAATGTAATCATTTAATGGGTATGTAAATTTTACTCGAGAAATTTTTTTTGTTAATTTTGCCCACCTGGCTGTGTTTTAAAACTAATTTTTAATTTTTATTCAATTCGTCATAGAATTAATAAACTTCTTTTTGTTTTTCATGTAAGTACAACCTCTTTTTTTATCAATTTTTTTGAAAATTTTTACAGATTAAATTTATCCGTGATAATTTTTATCGGATTGTTATAAAAATTTTACATTTTGAGTTTATTATCGAAAAGTTGTTTCCCTATAGAAAACTTTATCTTATAGCAAAATTTTTTTCATTTGGGTAAGTTGTAATTTCATTAATATATATTTTATTATTATTATTATTATTATTTTAGGTTAATAAAATTAATAATAATTATTCTGTTGGTCGATTATTATTATTATTATTTTCCATTCCAGTTTTGTTTGATTCCTTTATCGTTTTGTTATTTTTTTTGTTTGAAATGAAGGAGGAAAAAAAGTAAAAAAAATTGATTTTGAAATAATTATTTTTTATTTTTCTATAAATTATTATTGGAAGCCCATTAAATTATTTAAATAAATTGGAAATATATTTGGATTTACTCTAGGCATTTTTTTTAGTCTTGATAAATTCATTTTTTTAACAGTTTCATATAAAGTATCACAAGTGCAAGATAATAAATAACCATCTGATGATAACTGGTCTGCCAATTCTTTTTGATGATTATTCATAAGATTTTCATTAATAACAACTATTAAAGGTTTTTCAGCTTCTAAAACTTCTAAACAAGTACCTGCACCTGCATGACTGATAACTAAATCTGCTTTCAAAATATCTTTTTTTATCGAATTTTTATATTTAAAATAAGTTAGGTTTATTCCGATTTGATTAGCATTTTCTAAATCAGGCGTTATGTCTCCACCTCCTATTTGCAGAATTAAGGTAGAGTAACCTTTTTCCTTAAGTGCCTAAAGAAAAAGAAAGAAAATTTTTTAAAATTTTCACCTTTTAATTTTAGAATATTTTTTTATGCAGTTTTCATATTCAATAGCTTCAATTTAAAAAAAAAAAAAAAAAAAAAGATGTTTACTTCTAAAACTGTTTTCTCTGTTAATTTTTGAATCAAAAGATCAAATTTTGTAGTTCCTACAGTTGCAAAAATAATTTTTCCAGTCATTTTGTAAAATTTTATTATTAACTGGCATTGGTATATTACGTTTCAACTGATAACAAAGTTTCGCGTAATTATCAAAGCGAATTTTTTATTTCGATGTCAATACATAAAATAATTGATAAATATATGTATAAGTAACGATACATAATATGGTTTAATTGGATTTTGTTATTAATTAAAAAAAAATTGATTTATTTCAAAAGTAAATAAAGTTTAAACCATCGAATTATTAAATCCGCCATTGGACGAAATAATATTTAGGTTGGCAATGCCGACATGTTTTCTTGTTTTACCTACACTGTTTAAGATGTGCTTGTAAATGGAAAGTGGTCAATTTAATAAAAGTGGTATGTTAATGTTTTTTTTTTTTCTCTCTCTCTCGTTTAAATATTTTTTTTTTTATATAATATTAATAAATAGTGATAAATAAGATATTAATAAAAAAAAAAAAAAATTAATTTTTCCATAGTTTTTTTTTTTTGTAAATTAAAATCTAAAAGTTGTCGATTTATTAAAATGACATTTATATAAAAGAATACTCAAGTTATAATAATAATAATATGGCAATGGGAAATATTGGAATATGAAATAAGTAATATCAAATTCTATATTGGTAAACTTAGGATGCTGAATCAGCAAAATCTGGATTCCCTTCAATTCCCTTCGTAAGGCTCTTATATTTGTTTACATTTTTATTTAAATGTATTTATGTATTCAAATGAAAAGTCTTTCACATTACTACATTACTTCCTACCACTTCCTTAATTTAAATAATTTTTCCCTTGGGAAAAAAAATCCATTTGAAAATTTTTTCAAAAAAATTTTATTTTTATATTACATTATAAGGTATGTTGAAAACAAATAATAATAATAATAATGATATTTCATTTTATTCTCGTAATATTTAATAAACAAATATTTACGTTTAAATGTAATCATTTCATTTTTTTTTTTTTTTTTTTTAATCAGGTTGAAGCTTGATATATGAACTATTGCTGAGTGATCTTTAACAAAGCAATTTGTTGAGGTCATTTTTCAATTTTTTATTTTTATTTTATCAAGGTGTTTTTGTTTTAAATATTTTAATTTATTTTTTCGAAAATTTATTTATTATTATTATTATTTTAATTATTTGAAATTTCATAATGTAAAATTATTTTTTTTTGTTTAACGATACGAAATACGATATTATTTTCATTTTAAATTCTAAGAAAAATCGTCATTAACGACCAATTCAATGCCTTATCAAAACATATAATTAGGTTTTCATAATTTTTTTTTTTTTGTTTTATACCATTTCGTTAAATTGAAATATGTATATATGAATGATAGTCATCGAATGTGACACAGGTTATTGAGGTTCAAGTGATTATTTTTCATTTATAATTATGTTTTATTTTAATTCAGGTTAAACATTGATCATTCAGACTTTTTATTTTATTATTATTTTATTTTACTTTTTTTTTAAAAAATGTTATTTACAAATAGATTGTTTAAATAAATAAACATGTCATCATAATATAAATTTCAAATGTTTTTTTTTTTTTTTTTTTTTTTTTTTTTTTCTCAACACCTGATTGTTATGTTGTTGTTAGGGTTATGTTAATAAATGTTTTACATTAATATTAAAACCACCTCTTAAAAAAGTTTATAAAGGAAGATTGATAATCAGGTATTAAACATCGATAATGGTAGGATAAATTTATTGAGTTATTTTCAAAATGTTTGTCGTAATTGGATTAAAATAAATGGTAAAAGCATTTAATCATTTTAATAACGACAATTAAATTAAATTATTTAAAATTACATGTTTGGTTAATTTTTTTTATTTAAATTTTTTACAGAGTGATGCAATAATAATTTTTCTTCATCGTTTTAATAAAAAGAATAAATATTGTTAAAGTAATAATTTACATTACAATTATATAGCATTATTCTATGTGATAATGCATATTTTAATAATATACATATAATTTTAAACTTTAGTAATTACTTTTTTGACAATTAAATATTTAAATCATTCAAATTATCGAAAACTTCTTTATCGTCTAAATTTTTAAAACTTAAATTTTCAATATATGTGATATGTTTGTTTATCCTTAAATTTTATTTTTTTTATATTATCATTAATATTATTTTTATTATTTATAAAATTGCCTTGTTTTGTTTAAATCCACTTTTTCAGACTGTTATTTTTCTAACTGTTTTCGCTTTCGATGTTTATTATTATTAATAATCAATTAATTATTAAAATTATCGAGTGCTTTGATGTTTTATTAATAATAATAATAATAATAGTTGAGTAATAATTTAAATATTACTAAACTTATAAAGTAATTATTACTTTTTTGCTTCCCTTTGTAAAAATCATTATTTGTAATTTTAAAATTGTGTCATGAAAAAATTTACACAATATTTAGTTTAGTTTCATAAAGTTATCATCGCATGGATGATTTTTTAAATTATAGACTATCATTGTTTTATTATTTTGTAATTTTTTTTATACGGTTTAGTAAAAAGTATTATTTATTCTATGATATGAAAACAATTCTGATTAATTTTTTTTTTTTTTTTTTTTTTTAAAAGTTCAGATGGAATTTGAACCCCTGTTTTCTGATGATGTTGTTGAAAATGTAAAAATGGTACCTGAGGAGCACAATGAAACACAAATGTGGTTCAGTCCACCTGAAATAGAATTACAAATTCAGGGTCAAGAACCAATCATTCCTCAGGAAAGGGAATTTGATCAAGTTTTTATATATCCTCAAGAAGACACTTTCACAAGTTGGTAGTCATTTTCAATTTTTGAATAATACCTTTGTTAAAATTAAAATTAATAATTTTTTTTTGTTTTTTTAGATTATATGCGTTCTCCAGAAACAACCATACATTGTCCACAGCCGACATCACACCCTGGTGGTCCAACGAACGAGTCAATTTGTGATGTTTTGTGTAATCAACATAATTTGTGTCCGCAACCCGATGCAAATTTTCCCGCTCGTAAAACCAGGTACATTGAAACCGAGCGGGAAAGGGCTTTCCCAGATAATAATAGAAATTATAACGAAAGAATAAGTTATCAAAGGCGACACAGCAATACCGATCATAACCTTCAAGAAAGGCATCGTAATTACGGAGGGGTTAACAGACACGTGACTGATAGAACTCATGGGTATCCGGATAGGGGGTTTTCAGACCGTGAGAGAAATATTCCAAATCGAGGTCGAAGTTTTTCCGATCGCTATCGGTTTTCGGAGCGTGAACGAATGCAAACCGATCGCGGAAACGGATATCCTAGAAGAAATACAGAAAACCACTTTACATCCAGAAACAACAACAACAACAATGGCGGCGGTTTTCCCGAAAGAGAAAGGGATTTCGTCGAGAGAGACGGAAGGTATTTCGAAAGTTATGGTCGGCGTCACTACAGTGATGATAATGGAAGAGCTCGGAGGATTGATTTTGAAATGGATGTTCCTAACAGACCCAGCAGAGATGTTTTCGATCCGAGAAGAAAAAGAAGTTTTAGGGAGGGAGATCGGCCCAATGCTTTGAAGTATAGGTTGAAAAGCAGAAGTCGTAACAGGTAAAGTATTATTATTTTTTTTTTCATTATAAATGAATTTAAAATGATTGACTAATTTATGATGTAAAAATTTTGGGGTTTTTAAGGTTTTACGTTGAGGATTTAAGCCAACCTTCGAATCAAGGAAATGTTAACCAAATTCAAACGTCAAATAGTATTCAGGCAATGTCCAACAGCTCATCAACGTCTTCCCCGTTAATCCCATTACCTACTTTGTTTTCTCAGTCTGAAAATTCTCAGTAATGAAATATATTTATTTTACTTTTGTTGATTTTTTTAAAAAAAAATTTTTAATTCATTTTTTTAACATTTCAGGGAAATAATCAATTCTCAAATCGAGAACAGGATTCCTAGTGTAGAATTAATTGCAGAAGCAGATTCAATGCATCAAAGTGAAGCCAACCAAATAGTAAAAATAGAGCAACAGCCTATGAAGAGTGGTGCCATTGGTATTCCACAAGAGACTGATAATTGTGATTTTAATAAGCCAGGTAATTTATTTTAAAAATCATATTATCCAAATATTAATGTGTTTAGTATTATTCATTTTCGTAATGTTCCTTGACAGGCCCTTCTGGAATTCCCAAAAAAGAAAAGTCTGGATTACCTTCAGCACCGGATTTACAATTAGATTGGCTAAGTTCAAGTAATGATAGCAGCGACGATGACAGCGGTATAGAAGTACTTAGCATTCAATGCAGACAGCAATTGAATGAAGCCAAGCCCGTTATTGTGGACCTCACTCAAGAATCCGACGAGGAAGTTAGACAAAATTCAGCATCAATTAACATTGCTTCCCATCCGCAAGGTATACTTGAATGATAGCAAAACGGTACGAATTACTTTCTTTTTTTGTTTTTTTGACACGGATAATTAACGATTTTACATCGGTTTCAGTCGCTAGTTATTCTCAGGACACGATTAGGTCTCAGCGTTCTTGTAAATACCAATCGCAATATGCACATCACTCAAGAGATTTTTCACAGCAAACTCAAGTCGTGGAAAATTGCGATCACAGACACTTTAATGGAAATAATCAATCGTGCGGGTGTTCTCGTAGTAATCATTTGACATTACACAATGGGACTCCGCGTCATCAGGTGCCTCACAATTCCTATATCGTCGGTAAGTACCGCGATTGGTAATAAATATTTTAAAAATTAAAAAGTAAATTATAAAAAAAAAAAAAATTTTGATCAAGATTCAGGAATGGGAATACCTCAACAAAGAGTGTCTTTATATCCGCCAACTCTGCAATACATGTATCAAGTACCTCCCCCTATATTTCCAACACCGTCAAGATCTGTGTACCCGGTACATGCCAGATTGTGGCATCAACAACAGCGTATGCAAGAGTCACAGCGTCGAAGGCTTGATGCTCATTTAAATTACAGGTAAATGAAATAATAATAATAATAATGATTCGGTATTGTTATTTTCATAAAAGGATTTAATTACTACATTAATGGTTGTAAAAATTTCAGTAATGGAAATAATAGGCAAAGGGAAAATTTGTTGTTGCACGATCCATTTCAGCATTCTCATCCGTACGGAGCTCAAGCTCACTCTCAAACACATTTTCATCACTGCCATACTCCTTCTCATCATAACCCTCCAGTTGCTCATCAACATCCTCATCATTGTCCTCCTATTCCGGCACCTCCTACCGTTTATACTCGTTCAGATGTGGGCCCGTCTGGAATTATATCTCCACCGCCCTCTTTCGTAAGTATTTGTGATGTTTTCTCTTGAGAATCACTCGGTGTGTTTTATTTTTTTTTTTCATTTTATTAATTTTTCATTAGTTACCTCTACACGTATCCGAATTGGAAATAATACCTCCTCGAGTAACTCCGATAGCCGTACCACAATCTGACGTGGCCGCCGAAGTTTTAGTTCAACACACACCCGAAAGTATAGCTGTGTAAGTTCTTTTTTTTCCAATGCCTTCGAAAATTATTATTTATAAAGCTCTATTAATTAATAAATTTAATTATTTAGTGAAAGCACTCATCAGCACGTGCATCATCATTTGTATCATTATCATCCTCATCCGGGCCAAAGAATGCATCATCTTCACATAAGTATCGGAAGGCCTACAATGGTGAGTATCAAAATAACTTTTTCAACATGAATTTAAAAAGAAAAATGATAACATACCTGTACGTTTACAAATTTTTTTTTTTTTTTTTAAATTTTAGTCAAATTCTCCGAGACCAACAGAAATGTTAGTTCCACCAATAGTGCCACTACCATTTTTAGCTCGACACATGTCGGCCAGATTCGAAGATTATCTTCGTGTCGTCGAACAGAGACAAGCTCAGCTTAATAGAGGTGCTTCGCAAGATACAATTGAAAGAAACACTTTTCCGCATAAATATAAGAGAATGAAAAAGAACGTCGAGGATAGCGAGGAAGATCACGTTGAGAAATGCACCATATGTCTGTCGGAATTTGAAGAATTGGAAGACGTGAGGTAAAGGAATGTCTCTCTTTTCCCATCCCTCATCCGTGTCCTCCTGGAGGAAGGAGGACACGGATGAGGGATGGGGTGGGGGTGAGGGGGTAAATGATAAATTTTTTAATTTTCAAATTGAAATTTCAGACGATTGCCTTGCATGCATCTATTTCACATCGAATGCGTCGATCAGTGGTTATCAACAAATAAAAGATGTCCGATTTGCAGAGTAGATATAGAAACACATTTAAATAAAGACGTGCCAGTCATTTGACATTTGCCGTTTCAATTAAGCCGTAGTAAATTTTGACTAATCTTGAAATAGTATTCCCGCGCTACTGCTCCTGCTCCTGCTCCTGCTCCTGCTGCTGATGCTGTTGCTGCTGCGAGAGAGTGACGACCGGGCTGCTTATTAGAAAAATTACCACCCACGTTGGAGTTTGGGGGGAATTTTTCCTTTTTTTTTTTTTTACATAAGTCATTACAGCAAAAAAAAAAAAAAAATTAGGAAATTCCAATATTCGGCCATATTGGTCCATTTAATAATAATAATAATAATAATAAGCGAAATACATTAATTGTTATTTTTATTATTATTATTATTATTAATTACAAATATTATTATTATTATATTCGTGTAATCATTTTTTTTTTTTTTAATTTTAATTTTTTTTCTTTTTGTGTCTTTTTACTAACACAAAATACTAAATTGGCTTATTTAAAAAATTTTGTAGATTAATATAATACAAACTACCATATATTAGAATAAATATATATATTATAAATATGCATAATAATAATAATAATAATAATAATAATAATAATAAATAGGAAATCGTTAATAATTAGTAATATTAAAAGGGGGAAATATCTGATCGTACCAAAAAGTGTACCGTTTATTTTATTTTTATTATTTTTATTATTTTTTATTTTAAATTAATTTATGATAATTATTAATCGTTTATTTATTATTATTATTATTATTATTTTTTATTTTTATTTAGGTAATATAAATAATTATTTTATGGTTTTATTAAATATTAGTAATAATTACTGTAAACAAATGAAAAATAAATAAATAAATAAATAAATATTAAATCGTAGGTAAAAAAAAAAAAAAAAATGGATTTTGAAAGAATGATTATTATTATTCTAAATATTAATAATAATAATAATAATAATAACGATGATTAATTTTTTTTTAAATCAAAAAATACAATTGTATTTCTACAACGTTATTTATTAATAATTTTTTATGTATAAATAAATAATTAATTAATTGTACGGGAGGAAAGAAAATCAAAAAAAGGAAAAAAAAAAATCAAGAAAATCGTATTAATCGTATTTTATAATTGAATTATTATTATTATTATTTATCATTATTATCGCATTTAGTTCATCGTTTGTTTTGTTTTTACACACCCCCTCTTCCTCCCTCCCCCTCACGTGTCATGCACGTTGCTTTTTTTATTAAATTTTTATTGCTCAAAAAGAAAAAAATGTCATTAATATTTGTTGTAATTATTATTATTACCCTGATTATTTTTAATCGTAATATTTTATAATAATAATAATAATATCATTTATATATTAATAAAAACTTACAAATAATAATAATAATAATAATAATATTGTAATCAATACAATCGGTATAAAGAAAAGGCATTTATTTATTAAAAAAAAAAATTTTGAATGTTTAATTAAATTTATTTATAATAAAATAACAAAAATTTTTTTTATTTTTTTAAAATTATTATTATTATCAATTTAACATAAATTTAATCAAAATTTGTTTTATTATTATTATTATTATTTTTTGAAATTATTTATTATATAAAAAAAAAAAAAACAGTATTAACATGAGTATTATAATCATATAATGAAAATTTTTTTTTTTTTTTTTTTGCCTTTTTTTTGTATGTGAGAGAACATAATAATAATAATAATAATAATATATTTAATTGAAAAAGGAAAAACCTGTAATGTTTTATCATCATTATTATTATATATTGTAAAAATTAAAAAATTTAAATTCTTATATTATTATATATTATTATATTTCAATTTATATATTTTTTAATCTGTTTGTTTTTAAAATTATTTTAATATTTTTTAATCACTTTATTATTATTATTATTATTATTTATGAATTATCATATAAATGACGAAAACTTATTGTCAATCAATCAATCAAATCAATATTTTTTTATTTTTTATTTTTTCTTGTCACAATAATTTGTTTAAAAAAAAAATATATATTTTTATATATAATTTGTATTTTATTTTTAATTTTTAAGGATTTTAAATTTATTATTATTATTATTTTACACACATAAAATGTTGTAATTATTTTTCTCTTATTATTATTATTATTATTATTATTATTATAAATAAATGCCTTAAAAATTTATTTATTTATTTTTTATTAACTTTAAATTGTAAACCGTTTGTGTGGTGTCAAAATTAATTAAAATTTATTAAAATGTTTTTTTTTTTTTTTTTTTTTTTGTAATTAATAAATAATCGACGTTGATTTTATTTATGTGTGTGAGACATCCAACATTATTATTAATTAATAAATTATTAAATTTAATTTTTAATTAAAAATTTTTATCGGTTTATTAATTAATAAGAATGGAAAATCCATAGAATTGATTTTTTTTTCAACGGTTGAATTTTTTTTTTTTTTTATGTTAATTATATTAATAAAATTTAAACTTTATTTATTACATAATATTTATGTATTAATTTTATATATTTGGATAAAATTATTATTATTATTATTTTATTTTTATCCGAATTTATATATATATATACTTAAATTTAATATGCTTTTATGTATATATTTATTAATAAAAATTAACTTTTTTTTAGTATTTAATTAACAACAACAACAACAAATTAATAAATAAATAAATAAATTTCTATTAAAAAGGAAGCCAATTTAGTAAATAATGTAATTTAGTAATTTTTAATCACATTAATAATAATAATAATAAGTCAATATAATTAACAAAAAAATTTATTTAAATAGTTTATTTAAATGATTATAATAAATTATTTTTTTAGCATATATATATATTAATTTTTCTTTTTAGTT